AGAGTGACAAGTCTAAAGTTCATGGTATTGAGTTTAAAGTCTCTGCTGCAGAGAGGTGAGCTGTTAGTAACAAGAACTCTTTGATGTCAGTTTAACGTTGATGTTGATGCTTGATGCTGTTTCCCGAGTAAAGAATTCCTTTATTTTATAAAACATGTCCAACACTTTAACTCCTGCTGCTCACAATGACTCACCTCAAATGTATTTAATGTAAAGTAATGAGCCTGCTTTGACAATGTAAGGTGCAGATATTTGTTTAAAAATGTAGTGAGTAAAACAAGTAAATTACTTCAAATTTACTTCAATAACTTAGTGAAACTTAAAAGAGTGTGCTTAATATATAACGTCTTACACTCCCTTGCTCCACCACCCCTAAAAGAGTTCATTAGGTGTAAAGAAAGCTTAGACAGGACCACTCGTGCTACAACCTGAGGAGAGTTGTTTATACCCCACAGACGGATTGCATTTGGGCAGAACGTCCTTTCTGTCCAGGGTGGCCGTCTGTGGAACAGTCTTCCTCAATCCATTAGAAAATGCTGTAAATTCAACTTGTTTAAGGCACAGGTTAAAAACTGGTTATGGACAAATCAAGTGTGTGATCATGTATAAGTTGTATAGTTTTAATGTTTTAAAACTCCATGACTCTTCTCCATGTCACATCTCAGCATTCACATCACTGCTCTATCATTATTCACAGGAACCAACCTGGACCTCCACCCAGCTCTGTGTCCTGTAAGAGTGACAGGTCTAAAGATAACTTTATTGGTTTTAAAGTCCAGCCTGCGTCTGCTGCAGAGAGGTGAGCTGTTAGTAACATGAACTCTTTGAGAGATGATTTAACTGCTTGATGTTGTTGGATATAAAGTGCAGTGCAAACATGTCTGCAACCCAAAGGACCCAATGCGACTCCATGCGATGTGTTTTGCTTTTCTATTTTGGCACAATCAGTTTTTGTTCATTGCACTTTCCAGCGCATGCTGCTCTGGCTCCGGTGCTCTGCCCCAGCCGCTACTGAAAGATGAAAGGCATTATTAGAAAATACTCACCGGCTGTGACACACCAGCCTCCCCGACACCACACCCTGAACCCATTGCTTCACTCCTCCTGTGCAGCCAAGCCACCAACCACACAAATTCTAAAACTAAAAACTAGTATAAGGGGGTCACAATGTTTTTATGTTAAAAACAAGGATACTTTGCAATTTCACCTGTTTTTCCACTGAGTTACCAGTTCTGTCAGTATTTAGCTAATGTAAACTGATGTAAATCTGATGTAGTGACATGTTCTGTACAGTCACAAGATGCCATTAAACATGTATTCAAATCCTGTGTCTCAGACAGTGTTAAATGTGTGACAGTATTTAGAGCAGGGCTCCATGGTGTAAATTAGCCTTTTGGAGTGTTTCCACAAACACAGCAATCAGTATCAAGAACAGATGGTGTAGGAGGTATTTCTGTAGTGAAGAGGCTGAGTGTCTGCAGGACTCCAGCTGCTCCAGCAGGTATCTCCTTTGTGCTTTGCTTCAAACACAGTGTAGGTGGGAACTTCCACTCAGGTATTTCAGGTGTTGCTGGATGGAGGAGGACAAATAGTTTAGTGAGCATGACTCCATGTGAGAGCTGCTTTGATGTCCTGCTGAGAAGTTTGTCTTCTTGGAGGTTTCAGGATTGTTGCTGTGAATATTGCAGTAATGAAATGAAGACCATGAACTGTGAGCACTGAAATTTCCATCTGAAGCCAGAAGAAAGAAGTATTGACCTTGTCTGTGTAGGTTCTCAGTGTCCTGCTAAATCAACAGCAAAACAGAAAACTAGTTTTCATGACTGTTGGAGAGTCATGAAAACTAACCTGGGTTGTTCTGCTTTACAAAAGCCTTAGTTTAGGTAAAGAAAGGAAGGAAAGTTGAAGATCACAGAAACTGAAGCAGAAAATAATAAATACATTCAAGAAGGATGAAAAACGGCACAAGACTACACTATAGTATTGCACTGACAAAAAAAGCACTGAAGAATTAAACATGAAAGAAATTAACTCAAAACATAAAATTAAGCTTAATGCAAACCATCATCAGCAAAACCAAATCATCAGGCACCAAAACCTCCACAGAAATGAAACAAGAACAACAAATTTGAAAACACCACAAACCTAAAGTTAAAATACTGTGATGGTGTTAAAATGAAAAAGAGAAATCTCAATGACCTTGAAAAATGATAACTTAAGTTTTCAAAAAGGAAAAAAAATCTCTGCATTTGTAAGCAGTGAGTGATGCACGCAAAAGGAACTTATATGCCAGATATCAGCTGGAGACACTACAAGCTCCAATTTGGTTTTGTGCTCAGAATATAAACCAGCAGATTGGTTCCAAGACTTGATGAATAACTAAATATAATGTCATAATTAAATTATATTGACGGGATGAAGTACACACTAGAAGCAACTGTGTGTCTTTTTGTTTCTCTCTCGGCGACAAATTTAATGTGATCTAATTCTTCATGGTTCCTCCACAGAGTGGACCAGCAGAGCTCAGAGGTTCCCAGTGGTCAGTCTGCCCAGCAGCATCAAACACAGCTGGACTCCATATTTATGGTCTGTACATGTACAACAACTACTGTTACATCTATTCTGTTCACAGTCATCTCCATGCTGCTCTTTGTAGACCAGTGGATTGTCAGTGTGTCCAACATAGATCTGATGTTTGGCTCCATGATTTCAGTCTGATTGGCTCATTCATAAAGTATTCTGTTCCAGCTGCTGGAGGACAACATCATCACTTTTGTGAAGAACGAGCTGAAGAAGATCCAGAAGGTTCTGAGTCCAGATTACCCAGAATGCTTAGAGAGTCAGAGGGAGGATGATGAGGAGAGGAGCAGCAGCAGAGAGGCAGTTGTGAAGATCACAGTGGACTTCCTGAGGAGAATGAAGCAGGAGGAGCTGGCTGACCGTCTGCAGAGCAGTAAGAGGATTTCAAAAGATTTAAGCTGCTGGTGAAACATGAAATATTTACTAATTTCCAAATACACAGACCAACATGTAAGAATTATTATATATGGACCTTAAATCGTCTATGCATTTTGTAAAACAGCATAATGAATTTTACATTGTGTTTTAAGTTTTTGTTTGTGTTTGTGTGGGGTTTTTTTTAGAACTTCCAGCTTCAGGTTGTCATCGTAAACTTAAGTCTAAGCTGAAGAAGAAGTTCGAGTGTGTGTTTGAGGGGATCGCTAAAGCAGGAAACCCAACCCTTCTGAATCAGATCTACACAGAGCTCTACATGACAGAGGGAGGGACTGCAGAGGTCAATGATGAACATGAGGTCAGACAGATTGAAACAGCATCCAGGAAACCAGACAGACCAGAAACAACAATCAGACAAGAAG